AAAGGCCAAAACAGTGAGAACATTAAAAAAACCTTCAAAATACCTGCAATGTCCCAGAGCTGCAGCCGAACCGTCTCCGACTAAAAAAACTGAACCACCTTCAGTGCAAAATCCACTGGAGAATTCCCAAAAAAGCAGGAAGGAAATTTGCTCAGGGCTGTTCTGCACCATCCTGCACAGCCTCTCCCCATCTCCCAGAGCCCCAGCACAGCCCCAGGCACGGGGCCCTTCCCCATCCTCCAGCAGGGCCACAGCCCAAGCACAATTCCAGGGCTTGGAGCAGCCTGGGATAGGGAAAGGTGTCCCTGACCATGGGGTGAGAGGAACTGTGAGGTCCCTACCAAGCTGAATCACCCCAGATTAACCTAAAACAGGGAAAGATGTTCCTGTCCTTGGGGTGCTGTGAGGTCTCTACCAAGCTGAATCACCCCATATTAACATAAAACAGGGAAAGATGTCCCTGTCTCTGGGGTGAGAGGAGCTGTGAGGTCCCTGCAAGGATGAATCACCCCAGATTAACCTAAAACAGGGAAAGTTGTCCATGCTCAAGGGGTGACAGCAGCTGTGAGGTCCCTGCCAGGCTGGATCCCCCCATATTTGCTGTCACCAGTGAGTCAAAAGGGGAAGCTCTGTGCTGTTCTCAGATCCTGATGTGTCGGGGTTTCAACCTGGCAGCCAGACCTAGCTGGGCTGGGGCTGACCAAAACCAGGAACAAAGTACAAAAAGAAAAGCCCCAGCCACCAGTCTGCAGCATTTCCTGCTGGGCACAGCCTGGAGCTCTGTGCCTCTCCAGGGTTTTCACCTCTAATCCATCCCCTCTTGGGTCAGGAATTAAAGAAGATTTAAACAGCTGAGCTCAACACCCCCGATTTTGGGTCCTGGGGGAGGTTTCCTGGGTAAACCCTTGGCAGCTCCTGCTCCTTCCAGGTTATTCATTTACACAAAGAACCAAAATCCTGCTCAGCCCCATTCCCAGCCTCTTCCTCACAGAGCTTCCCAAGAGCTGCTGAGCCCTCAGCAGCGAGGCCAGGCTGTTAAATTAATGCCAAATTAATTGGGTAGGGGCACCCCAAATGGGCCTGGCACAAGGACAGAAACTCCTGAAGACTTCAGGACTGTTTAATTAATGCCAGACCAGCACTGCTGCTGGTTTTACTGGGATAAACTAAGCCTA